TTCCTCCAACAAGACCACACCTCCTAATGGTTTTACTCCCTTTGGGGACTATTTTCTTTCAAAACACCACTTTCTACTTCTTGGCCCCCAAGGCTTGTAGCCATATCATAATGCAAAAATGCATTCAGTCCAACTTCAAAAGTCCTCGTAGTTTATAACAGTTCCAAATTTGTTTCTAAGTCCAAAGTCTCTTCTGAGACTCATGCAATTTCTTAATGGTAATCCCTGTAAAATTTCTAACATATAATGGCACAAGATATACATTACTGTTCCTAGACATAGGGAAGGGAGCATAGTGAGGAAATACTGGACCAAAGCAAGACCAAAAACCAGCTGGGCAAACTCCAAACTCTGTGTCCCTAACATCTTGGGGTCTCCAAGGCAATCCAGGCTTCAACTTCACAGCATCACACAATGGCCTCTCTGGGTCTCCACTCAGGGACACCCCGACACATGCCTGGCCTCAGCAGCTTTCCTTAGTCTTGAGGGCAAATTCCATAGCCCCTTTCTTCTATCCTTAACTCCAGAATCACATGGCCAAAGCTGCCAAGTCAACTATATCTTCACCAACTTTCTGTGTTCAATGGTTAGACCATGCTGGCCTCAAGAGATCCGCTCACCTCTACCTTCCCAGTGCTGGGATTAAAAGTGTGCACCATCACACCTGGCTCTAAGCTTTTCTTTAATTCCTATTCACAAGTTGGAAATTTAGCTGGGTGGGATCTTGCCCTGAGGTCACCACTCTCTTTATTCCATTTCTTAGTCTGTTTATCTCCTTGAACACAGGACTTGGCTCCATTCCACTTTTTGGTGTTTCTTTTCACCTTAAATTTTACATTTTGCAATTTACCCTGCTCGGCTTGATTCTTTTCATTATAAATCTTCATTAGAGTTAACACCAATAACCACACAACAGAGTCAATACTAGGCTGCTTTGAGATTTCCTCTGCCAATGGAATGAATTTAAAACTCTTCACTTTAGCCTCAGGCAGAATCTTTGGACAAGGGCAAAAAAGCAGCCACATTCTTCACCAAAATATCACAAGAACGATCTCTAGGTCACATGCTAAAACTCTCCTCTGAAGCCTTTGGAGCCAGGCCCCCACAGTTCATCAAATCTCACCCAGCACCACTGCCTTCCATGCCCTGTGCATATTACCAAAGGCATTTTTGTTTTAACGCAAGACAAACTTTAAGATGCTGTCTTTTCTCCAGAGTTCCCTGTGGGATAGCATTGTTGAAATCCTCATTTTCCTCTGAGTTTTTTTTTTTTTTTTTGATTTTGTTCTTTTTTTAAAATCCCCCTAGACAGGATTCCTCTGTGTAGCTCTGGCTGTCCTGGAACTCTCTCTGTAGATCAGGCTGGCCTCGAACCCAGAGATCCACCTGCCTCTGCCTCCTGAATGCTGGGATTGAAGATGTGAGCCACTATTGCCTGGCTTTTTTCTTTTTTCTTTTTGGCTGTTTTGTTCTCTTTTTTTTTTTTTTTGTCACAAAATCAGGTGTCTCATGTCATAGGACAGACAGGAAACTTTTAAATAAGCATGCTTGGGTTTAAAGAAGCAGGAGCAATAACCCAACTCCACAGCCAGCTTTTCAATAAAGCAGAACTGCTGTGGATATCGCTCTGTATAAATAAAATGCTGATTGGCCAGTAGCCACGCAGGAAGTATAGGAAGGACAAGCAAAAAGGAGAATTCTGGGAACAGGAAGGCTGAGTCAGGAGACGCCAGTCTGCCATCCAGGGAGCAGCATGTAAAGGCAACAGGTAAAGCCACGGAACACGTGGTGACATATAGATTAACGGAAATGGGCTGAGTTTAAGTGTAAGAGCTAGTCAATGATAGGCCTGGCCTAATGGCTAAGCAGTATAATTAATATAATCTTCTGAGTGATTATTTTATAAGCGGTTGTGGGGTCCATGGGGCTGGGCAGGACTGGAGAAATCTCCAGCTACACAGAACAGCATAAAACAATATTTCAATATTGTCTAGATCTAAAAAACATCTGAATCCCTGAAAAACTGAATTCAGGGACCAGAGCAAGATGAGAACAGAGAAAGCAGCTATGGCAAGCCACCAAAGTGGCCACTGCTCCACTTCCCCCTGCTAGGTCCCTCCCGACTCCGTAGGCCATGGTTTTCCTAGGACAAGGAGGCGGAAGGAGTTGAACAAAGGAGATTAGATTCAGGGATCTTGTTCTGAAAAGAAAAAGGAGGGATATAGAAATGATAGGTTAAAAGGGTAGATTATTGAATCTAATTCAATAAAAAAACTATTAATCTTAACATATTTTATATTGGTATGGATTTTGGTTTATTGATACAAATTTAAAGTTAATTTTATTATGCTATATGTATATTTCTACTCTTATTCAAAATATTGTACTTATATAGATCATTTAAAAGGTAATGTGTAATTAAGAAATACATATTAATAGTCATTTTTTTAAGGTCACACAGAGATATATTTCAGATAGATAGGCAATCTATCTATCTGAATGCTTCAAAGTGCGACAGAATATGACATTTAAAATGTTTTAAGAGGGCCTGGAGAGATGGCTCAGAGGTTAAGAGCACTGGCTGCTCTTCCAGAGGTCCTGAGTTCAATTCCCAGCAACCACATGGTGATTCACACTCACCTAGAGTAAGACCTGGTGCCCTCTTCTGGAGTGCAGGGACACATGCAGGCAGAACACTGTATACATAATAAATAAATAAATCTTTAAAAAATGTTTTAAGAACTTAAATTTTTCATGACAGTGATACATGTCTCCTCCTGGCAGCACCAATCTACTTCAGAAAAGATATTGGGCATTGAAAAAACTCTATATGGAGTTTGCTTTCTTTATGACAAATCTAGCCATGTGGGCAAAGAAACTGCCCTTGCTTCAACTGCTGACAGTTACTGTCCAAACTGGACCAGCAGGATACAAGAAAGGTGACTGCTGAACTTTGCCAAGACAAGGTAGGACAGTCCTTCAGAATTCCTTGCTTCACAGGAAAGTCTGTCAGATATGCTAGGCCTGTAGGCCAAAGGTGGATGACCCAATGTTACAGAGGAACTTTGGGTGACTGTCCAGGCAGCCTGATGTCCCTGTCACTAGGTAACATTTCACCCTTCTGGGGTCTTTGATGGAGTTGAAGAATAGATAGTAATAGTTATAGTTTTCTTTAGTTATGATAAAAGATAAATTAGGTACAAAACTTTGGACTCACAAAGATAAGATAGATAATAGAGCATTTTCTCTAATTGTGCCAAATACAAATAGACTGGATATTGTAACTGTAATTCTTACTTGATAATTGTTTTCATTGTGTATAATCTTACTATGTTAGTTAAAAAAATCTTCCTTTTTAATTAGACAAAAAGGGGGGAATGCTGTGGAATAATTCTCTTGTACACTGTAAAGATTTTTCACCCAAATTGGTTTAATAAAATGCTGATTGTCCAGTAGCCAGCAGGAAGTATAGGCAGGGTGACCAAACTAAGGATGACGGGAAGGAGAAGGGTGGAGTCAGGAGTTGCCAGCAGAGGAGCAGGAGATGGACATGCCGTACTGAGAAAAGGTACCAAGTCACTTGGCAAAGGATAGATAAAAATACGGGTTAATTTAAAATGTAAGAGCTACTTAGTGATAAACATGAGCTATTGGCTGAGCATTTACAATTAATAAAAGCCTCAGAGTGGTTATTTGGGAACAGGGGTCAGGACAGAAAAACTCTACCTCTGTCTACACACCACATACACAGACACACATACACACATACTGTGTACACATACACCACACACACACACCACACACATACATACACACATATACCACACACATCACACATCCACTGCATATACACACACACACAGCAGATATACACACGCACACCCCACATGCACATACACCATACACATACATCACACACAGACACACGTATGCACACACAGCATACACACATACAAAACACACCACACACACATACACACACCACACACAGACACACCACACACAAAAAAACCCACATACACCACACACAATACTACACACACACACACACAAAGATGCATCAATATTAAAGCCCAATGGACTGATGAGAACTCCCAGACAGTGGAGATTTAGAACATTGCTGATTATCCTGGGGCGAGCTTTAGACCCCCTGACCATTCTTGTGGACCTCTGAGTCTGCCCTGCTATCCTTTTGATAAGCAGGTGAAACCTTTGAAAGGTATGAAGGGATCAGTAGCTTCCACCAAGCAGAGTGTCAGGAGATCCGTGCCCCTCTTTGCTGGAACCCATCTACCTGATGTTTCCATTAATGTATTTGAAAAATATCTCGATTGAAGGTTTTCTTTGTTCTACTACAATAGACATGTCATCAGACAGGAACTGCATTGGTACATGGCATTTAGGGAGACTTGGATCTGTGTTCCTGGGCCTTAGTCAGGCATATTTGGCTGCAGAATAACCACGTTCTGTCTCCTTTGTTGTGAGAGCTGGGTTCTTTGTTTTTTTTTTTTTTTTTTTTTTTAAGATTTATTTATTTATTATGTATAGAATGATCTGTTTGCATGTATTTCTGCAGGCCAGAAGAGGGAGCCAGATCTCATTACAGATGGTTGTGAGCCACCATGTGGGTGCTGGGAATTGAACTCAGGACCTCTGGAAGAACAGCCAGTGTTCTTAACCACTGAGCCATCTCTCCAACCCCGGTTCTTTGGTTTTGATTGGCACTGCCTTTCTTCTACTTGGCCTGGCTCCTCAGCAGCCTCCAGGATGTACCTGATGCAGGAAAAGGCTTTCCCTGCTAACTTAGCAGCAAAGAAATGAGAGAGAGAGAGAGAGAGAGAGAGAGAGAGAGAGAGAGAGAGAGAGAGAGAGAGAGAGAGAGAGAAAGAGAGAGAGAGAGAGAGAGAGAGAGAAACAAAAACGAAAAACCCAAACAAACCAGTTCTGTCTCTAGTCACAAGCGAGAGGAAGAAGCAGACCCCCCAACATGGGCTCCTTACCCGGTAGTTTTCTGTTCTTTGTGTTCTGGCTTCAGTTGGCTCTGGCCAGCACCACCACCAACACCATGGGGAGTGCAGAAACAGCTGAGGCGGCTTGGGAGGTGGCAGCATCATGAATGTACTCAGCAGCACGCCCTGGACCTGCCATGAAGTGAGTGGTGACTGTGTCCTATGGGTCCTTCCTGCCCCTGCCTCCTACCCCCTGAGGTGAACGGTTGCCCCATTTTCTCACCAGGGGCAGCAGGGACCTTGATGTCATGGGTTTGGTGCCTCAGGTGGCAGGTGAACTCTGGTTCCTGTCCAGGAAGAACCCAAATGGACACCCAGGTCTGGTAGGTCCCGTCCCCACTGGGCAGGATGGTCCCAGGCCCAAAGGTACGCTGCTGTGTCGGCTTTCCATCCTGAAGCCAGGCCAGGGTGGCCACAGCAGGATACAGGTTAAAAGCCCAGCATGTCAGGGTGATCCTGCCCACTGGGTATGTCCTGTTGGTCACCTTCACCTCCGGGAGGCCTGGGAGAAGATGAGGAAGAGCTGGTGAATGGTGAGATGAGGAGGGCAGAACGCAGACAGCCACACTGTGCACTTTTGCCTCCAGCCTCTACCCTGGGCCCAGTGGTAAGAGGACTGGGGAGGCCGGCAGGCAGCTTCAGTGACGCCTGGCAGCTCACAGGCATCAGGCCCTTATCTGCCAGAAGACTTTTTCAGAGGCCAGAGGATCAACCTTCCAACACATGTGTAGATGATTCTGTAGGGATAGTGGGCTTCTCTAGTCAACCAATGGCTGGCGATCTGACTGACTCTCTACCACAAAGCAGGTATCACACACTCCGGAAGACCGGGACGGACGACCAGACTGTGACTCTAATTCTTTGGCTCATGAGGACTTTGACTGGTCACCAGTGTCTTATCTCCCCACCCCACCCCCATTTCTAGGGCACTTTTCATAATTTTTTTGTTTTTTGTCGTGAGACTTAGCCAAGGAGAAAGCTTTAAGTATCACCTCTCAGGGGCCTTGCAGAGCTGTGCATACCTGTGATACCGGCATTCAAGGGGCAGATGCAGGGTCTTGAGTTCAAAGCCAGCCTTGGCTAGGTAGTGAAGCCTTGTCTCAAGAGACAGAAAACTTAACCCTTGCAGACAAAAGCAGAACATCAGGCAAAGGATCCCAGTCATGGGACATGGGTTGGGTAGCTTGCATTTGAATCTGTAGTCCAGCTCTGTGGCTGGATCCTTCTGTCCTGTCTTAACGCTGATCAGACAAGCATGACTCCATCTTACCACCTAAGCCCAGTTGTTTATACCTATCTTTCTCTCCTTCTGGACCCAGAACATCCCAGAGAAAGAGGCTGATGGAGAGATGGAGCCCTTGTTCCTGTCTGCCAGGGCCTGGTGTGGGAAACCCTCCACCCCAACTTCCAGGCATCACCTTAGACTCTGCCACCCTTATACACACCAGTGAGAACCAGACACCCACAAATACCATGGGAGGAGCCTCTTGGCCACAGGAATATTCCCCTGGGTGCTGGGAACCAACCCTGGTGACAGTTATTACCTGTATCCGGTGGAAAGTTCTTCAAGAAAGCCAGATATCCCTGGAGCTGAGCAGGACATATGTCCTCCAAGAAAGTCTTAAATTCATCAGCTCTGGGTGCACGTGTCTCCCAGAACACCTTGGTCTGCTGGGTGGAGGGCACAGTCATTGTCCATCTGAGAGTCTTCTGGTCAAAGGTGAGGGAGTTCTGCCCATCGTAGCCCAGGCGCCAGAAGCCTCCAGTGCTCTGGTTTCCCTGAAGCTCACAGCCCAAGGTTTCCTGGAGGGTGTGAAGGCCTGGCTTGCCCCAGGCAGGAACCTGTCACCTGCTGTTCCTTGACCTTAGCTCCCCTGAGACTTAGGTCTAAAGAGACTATCCAGCGCTCTGCCCCATGGGAGCATTATTGCATTATTCCCTTAAGTCTGGCTATGCCTTGCTCAGAGTCAGGGCTTGGGAATCATAAATGGGACCTCTGTAACTCTTGTGAGGGGCACCAAAACAGCTTGACCACACAGCTGCCATGACAGGCTTAGAGGCCCAGACACAGCTTCTGGCAGGCAACACCTGGACGCAGGAAGAGCCTTAAGCTGCCCCCACCCAGTGGGGCCTGCATCTAAGAGGAAATGCCTGACATTCCAAACATTCCCTATACCCCTAGACAAATGCCAGGTGGTCAGGGTCCTGAGCCCTGGAAATCCCTTCACCCCAACCTCTGCTATGATAAAAAACCCCACCGTGCCTGGGCTCTGGGCTCTGACTGCTGCCTCAGACAGAGTCCAAGCTCTGAGCTTGAAAATAAAGGCTCTCTGCTTTTACGTATGGGATTTGGTCTCCGCGGTGGTCTTTCGGAGGTCTCCACAATCTGGACATAACAACACCTCTAGTTCTGCACACTCACCCTTCTTCTGGCCCTGCTGGCTTGTGACCTCAGCCAGCATCCTCCTGAGTTGCTCCTCCTTTTTCTGCAGGCCCTCAGTCTCTCTTGTCCAGAGCTCAGCTCCTGCATGTCCCTTGATCTTGGGCCCCACGGCCTCTGCTCTCCTGCTGTGCCCGTTGTAGCGCAGGAAGAGCTCATCATCAGCGTATACTAAGACTGGGAATGGGTGCTTCCAAGAGTCCTCTGGAAACCAGACTGTGAGGTCATAGCGCAGTGTATGGGTTTCTGAGGGAGCGAGAGAAAGACGACACAATTGACAAGCTGGTTTTCACAGTCAGCTCTGCCTTGATGGATTGAACTCAGACTGTATTGTGCTGCTGTGTGAGTGTGAGAAGCCAGAGGGGTGTTTTGTTAGAGCATGAAAGAGAAAAGGCGCTCGGAGTTGGGGATTAGGAAATTCTGGCCCCTCACCACAGGGTTTGAGACAGTAAGTGGAGAGTGGAAATAAACATGAGTTCTAATCAGGTCCTTTGAGACAAAGGGTTTCATACAATTTTTGAGCTGTTTATTAGGTCTATAGATTCAAAATATTCTGAGAAACAGTTCTGCAACTTATTCCTAAACAATGAACCATAGATGTTGGTAATTTTAAACTCATAGGAAGTAATGGAGACAGAGTTGGTGTAAAAGGGGGGATAATAATATCCTGTCAATTATTTTGCAAGCTGGAAAACAATAATGTATTGCTTGGGTTGGGGGTGGGGAGGATGGTGCACGCCTTTAATCCCAGCACTCATGAGGCAGAGGCAGGCGGATCTCTGTGAGTTCGAGGACAGCCTGGTTTACAGAGGTAGTTCTGGAACAGCCAGAGCTGTTACACAGAGAAACCCTGTCTCAAAACCCCCTCCAGAGAGAGACAGAGAGAGAGAGACACACAGAGACAGAGAGAGACAGAGAGACAGAGACAGAGAGAGAGAATTTTCTGTTGAATACAATTTGGCAGGTCTTGGCAGGGTGGGCAGAATAGACTCCAAAACTGTTGGGCTGGAACTCAGAGCCCCATGGCTGCAAATGGCCCCATGGCTGTGGTGGTATTGTGTCCCCCAAAATATTGTGCACCCTAATAAACTTATCTGGGGTCAGAGACAGAACAGCCACTAGATACAAAGGCTAGAAAATGGTGGCACTCACGCCTTTAATCCTAGCATTCCAGAGGTAGAAATCCCTCTGGATCTCTGTGAGTTCAAGGCCACATTGGAAACAGTCAGGCGTGGTGACTCACACCTTTAATCCCAGAAAGTGAGCCTTTAATCCCAAGAAGTGAGCCTTTAATCCCAGGGAGTGGTGGTAGAAAGCAGAAAGGTATATAAGGCATGAGGACCAGAAACTAGAAGCATTTGGCTGGTTAAGCTTCAGGCTTTCAAGCAGCACAGTTCAGCTGAGAGCCATTGGGATGAGGACACAGAAGCTTCTAGTCTGAGGAAACAAGACCAGCTGAGAAGTTGGCCGGGTGAGGTTAGCTGTGGCTTGTTCTGTCTCTCTGACCATCCAGCATTTCACCCCAATAACTGGCCACAGGTTTGATTTTATTAATAAGACTCTTCAAGATTCCTGCTACACATGGCCATTTCAGCTGCCTGGGGTCAGTTGAATACAGAGAGCAGTGTCTGATGCCACACCTGAGTTCCAAGGGCTGGTGGCTGGGGCTAAGCTGTGGAGCATAAGCTAGGGCTCAGCTGCCTTACAGCTTAGCTTTTTTCCTGTTCATTCGTTTTCCCTCAAAGCAAGAATAAATCAATATAGATTGATCAGTGGTTCCTTCACATGGGGAAAAATTGAAACGGGCCAAACTTCTAGTACAGGAACAATCACAACTAGGACATAAAGCACCTGTGTCGGTGCTGATTAAATTTCCGGAGGTATTTCAATATGTAGATGGCATTCTTTCTTGCTCATTTGATCAATACTTAAATACATGCTTAACTCTCATGCTAAGTAAACTAAAAGAGCAAAAGTTGAAATTTTGGGCCATATTTACTGGGTACCATCCTCCCCCACCCCCAAGACAGAGTTTCTCTGTGTAGCCCTGGCTGTCCTGGAACTCACTCTGTAGACCAGGCTGACCTCAAACTCAGAGATCCACCTGCCTCTGCCTCCTGAGTGTTGGGATTAAAGGTGTGTGGCACCACAGCTGGCTGGGTATAGTCTTATCTACCTATCACTATTGGGGATGTGACTCTGCTCTTTCAGTTGCTTTCTGGATACTCTCCCTTAAATTTTATACACACACACACACACACACACACACACACACACACACACACACACACACACATACCACCTGAAGCAGAGCAGGTTATTAAATAATGCAGCTGCTGAAGCTGTAGCTCATAGAATTAATCCCTTACTCCCTTGTCAATCACTTATACTGCCTTCCTTTCTCCTTATCACCTGCTGGAGCCATATGTCAACAAGGTAATGGTATTATAGAACTTTATGCATGTCATAAGTCTCCATAACACTATGCAACTCCTTATCTACGAGAAGTTTAGTAATAATGGGAAGGACATGTCTTAACTTATTGACAAAGAGCCTACAGAAATTATTGTGCCATTGAATCAAATGCAGGTTGATTATTTGTTCCATGAATTAAAAAAAAAAAAAGAAATAAAAAGGGAAGACATGACTGCTCCTAGGTATGGTGGAGGAGAAAGTTTATTGTAGATATGAGGGAGAGCATAACCAGGGCAGGGCAGGGAAAGTTTATTGTAGATATGAGGGAGAGCATAACCAGAGAGTCCAGAGTGAACATGACCCTGAAATGGGTCATGTGAGGAGAGGGTGGAGGGGAGAACCAGGAGACCAAGAGGCCAAAAGGGTAAAAAGGTTTAAAAAAAAAAAAAAGGACCACATAGCCCAAATGGCTGGATTATATAGGGAAGGGCAGCTGGGGGGAAAGGCAGCCAGCCCTTGGAGAAGTTTAGGGTAGAGGGCGGATATGCCAGCCATACTCTGTAATAGGCAGGGACTGAGAGCTGTTGGGAGGACCAGGTCTGCTTTGATATGTTAAACAGGCACCTCAGCCATTTGTCCTGAGTTTGAGATCTACCTGAGGAACCTGCATGACTCCATTTTGAAGTCCTTGGCCACTAATTCTGCCACCCTGCTGCCAGATGTTGACCCTGAGGAGCCCATCCATGCCTGGAGATGCTGAATGTCATCCAAGGCATGTCACCTGATCTGACAGATGTTCCTGTCACTACCAGAGATGCAGGTCTCTATACAGATGGCAGCAGCTTCAGAAAGATCCAGGTATGTGGGGGCAGTGGTAGTGACTGTCCAGAAGGAGCTCATTTGGGCACAAGCCTTGCCTAGCGGCACATCTGCCCAGGGAGCAGAAATAATTGCTCTGATACAGGCTATGAGATGGACTGAAGAAGAAAAAGGTGAACATCTACACAGACAGCCGATATGCTTTTGCCATGGCTCATGTTCATGGACAGATATACAAACAGAGGAGTTTGCCCACTTCAGAGGGAAAGACTACTAAAAATAAATATGAAATTGTCCAGTTGCTGGAGGCCCTCCCTCTGGCTACCAACTGAACTGGCCACTATTCACTGGCCAGGACACCAAAGAGACAAAAGTCCCCAAACTCAAGGCAACAACCATGCTGATCCAGTTTCCAAAGAGGTTGCTCTTGGGGAATCCAAACCCCAGACTGTTCTGGAACTATCTGCTGTTCCTGAACCCCTACTCTGCCTTGATGATGTTCCTGAGTATGATCCAGCAGAGATCAAATCGTATTCTGACTTGGGGGCTCAGGAGAGCCGCAACAGATGGTGGATCTTGCCTGCTGGAGAATCTGCATGCCCAGGGTACTGAGCCAAAACTGGCTAACTGCCTTACATCATGCCATGCACTTGTTACCTGAGAATATCTCAGAACTCATCTCCCCTCATGTCTGGCCACCTGGCCACAGAGAAAAACTTCAAAACATTCACACTGCTGCCTGACCTGTGCCCAGGTAAATGCAAAGAACATACTTCCCCCCAGGCCAATGGAGTCAGGTACAGTATCTGGTGAATTTTGGGAAATGAACTTCACTGAAGTCAAGTCAGGATTGTATGGCTACAAATACCGGCTGGTTTTTGTCAATACCATCACAGGCTGGGTAAAGTCTTTTCCACCCTGAATGGAAACAGCCCAAGTGGTAGCTAAGAAATTAATAATAATGAAAATTATTACCAGATTTGGCCTCCCCATATCTCTGGGGTCTGACAGTGACTCAGCTTTCATGGCCAAGTTATCTTAATTGCTCTCTAAAGACTTTTAACATAAATTGGGAACTTTGTTGTATATTATCATCCTCAGAGCTCAGGAGAAGTAGAGAGGATGAATAGAACTTTAAAGGAGATTCTAACTAAATACACTCTTGAAACTGGGGGTAACTGGGCTGACCTCTTGCCTTATGCCCTTCTCAGAGTCCAATGTACCCCCTGAAAGGATATACGGCGCTGGTTTGGTCGGCGGCGGAAGAGTCACGAGCCATGGTTACTGGAGTTAGAATGAGCTTTATTAGAGAGAAGAGGGGATAGGACAGGAGAAGCCAGTCCTGGCTGAGGGAGGGGAGCGGGGCAGAGAGCAAACGGAAAAAGGGAGGGTGGGGGTCCTGTGTTCGGCTTTTTAAGGTGGAGATTGCGTGATCATGTGGTGGTACGCAGCCGCCCGAAACACCCTGATGACGTAGGCCATTGCAACCAGAAGAGTGAGAGGAGAATATTAACACCCCCTACCAAGAAGAGTTCACCCCATGTGAAGTAGTCTATGGGCGACCACCTCCCATGATCCCTTGGTACGTGCTGGATTGTTACCAGATTGCCCCACTCCAATGTGTGAGTCCTTAAAAGGATTACTATTAACTTTGGATAAGAGTCTCCCTCAGGTTCAGGTGCTCAACCTGTGGGGTACTGCCAACCTGATCACCTGTTCCTGCCTGGAGATGCTGGATTAGTCAGCCACTTCAAAACTGACCGGCTGGAACCTGGATGGAAAGGACCTTATATCGTGATTTTTCTGGACTCCTACTGCTGTTAAAGTCATTGGTATTTCTGCCTGGATTCAACCCTCACACCTCAAGAAGGCAACAGGGGAACCCATGAAAGAGGAGCCCAGCCCCTAAAGGTGGAAAGTGACTGAAAAAGCACTGTTAAAAAAATCAAACTTTTGCCGGGCGGTGGTGGCGCACGCCTTTAATCCCAGCACTCGGGAGGCAGAGCCAGGCG